TTCCGTGCTGTCGGTTGAAACTTTTTTTTTTGGGGTTAAGAGTATGAGGCCATGTCATGAGTGTGGGTGCGAGTCACACACCTCCCCACTACTGAGGAACAACTTTGGCCATGCCTGTCTGGGTATGTGGGAGGCAGATTAGTAATACATCACAAGATGTCTTGAAACTTTTACTGAATAAACCAAGACTACTTCAACACTCCTTCTCTCTCCTCCACTTGTCAGGTTATGCTTTCTGTCACTGAATGACATTAAATGTGTTTATGGGCATATAACTCGAAATAATGGTGTTTGTAGGCTTTGTAGTGTTGTATAGGCTTGCTATATATGGCTTGCAACAGATCTGGGACCCTGACCCATGGCAGGCTGATGGAGAACGCTGTTAAGTTTTGCCTCTGCTGTTTATTTTTTAGCAGAGCACAACAATGTTGCTAAGGAGGCTGGAATAGCTACGGAGGGAGCTGGGCTTTCAGGGACGACTCTTCCCCTGCCCTTGCTATCATTGTAAAACATCTCAATTGAAGAATGAAGGGAAGTCTGTGACAAATAAATCTGGAGACATTTTTGAACGCGTTATTTTTGCTTCTGTATGTTTTCCCCTTGCTATCAGCGCAGCCGATCCAATTAAGTCATTTTTGTATGTGTCTTACTTTGACACTATAAAATCTTTTAATCTTTTTTTACAAACTCCCCAAACAGGAGCAACATTTACAGCCATCCTTTTCATAACTGAGTTTGTAGTAGAGCCCTCATGGCTTCTACATTTCCTTTTGCATTTTTTTGGTGGACATTTATTTCACACAGTTTTAGTAGCGATTACAGTGGTACCTTGGGTTACAGACGCTTCAGGTTACATACGCTTCAGGTTACAGACTCCGCTAACCCAGAAATAGTGCTTCAGGTTAAGAACTTTGTTTCAGGATGAGAACAGAAATTGTGCTCCAGCAGCAGGAGGCCCCATTAGCTAAAGTGGTGCTTCAGGTTAAGAACAGTTTCAGGTTAAGAACAGACCTCCGGAACGAATTAAGTACTTAACCTGAGGTACCACTGTATCCAGTTGCTCACCAACCCCCCCCCACTCCCCTAACATCAACACCCTAGAGCAGTGGTTCCCAATTGTTTTTTGGCCATGCCCCAACTAAGCATCTCTAAAATCCTGATGCCCCCCATGACATATAATTCTTATTTCATCCCCTCAACCTATTTTCAATGCAGTTTCTCCCTTCTGTGTTCCAGTCCAGCTTTGCCCCCCTCTTTTCACCTCCACCCCCATGCCGATCCTTCTGCCTCCCCCTTTTTGGGGGCAACGCCTCTTCCACAACCCTGGTAATCTCCAGCATCATCTTCCTCCCACACATTGCAACTGCTCAGCTCTCTCAGTTATGAAGCCACCACTCCCTATTATGCAGCCCCTTTCGTACCCCCTCTTTTGTCTTCACCCAATTTCCATGCTTCCCCCCGTTTGTTCTGCATCCCTTCTTTGCGTCTGTGTGCGCTCACACATGCACAGTTATCACATTCCCTGTCTTTTTCCTATCTCCCTCTCCTTCCTTTTCTCAACTTCCTCTTGCACAGAGTCATATGCTTCCTCTTCCTTCCTGTTGTGCAGCCCCTTCTGCACACATACACTACAATGCTACTGTATCTTTAAGATTACTTAAGCGCAAGGCTGTCCATTAGATTGTTCTGTTAGAGAAGGTTAAATTCACCTGATGCATGCTGTGCATAGATGAGTGTTTGCTTCATTAACTTTGTATTCTACAGGTGAAACTCGAAAAATTAGAATGTCGTGGAAAAGTTCATTTATTTCAGTAATTCAACTTAAAAGGTGAAATTAATACATGAGTTATTTGTTATTTCATCAGCTGTACACCATAAACATCACAATTATAACAAATAAAGGCTTGACATATCTCGCTTTGCATGTCATGAGTCTATCTCATATATTAGTTTCACCTTTTAAGTTGAATTACTGAAATAAATGAACTTTTCCACAATATTCTAATTTTTCGAGTCTCACCTGTAAATTCTTACGTTAAATCTGGAGCTCTGTGTTGAAGGAAGCACATGCCACCAGGAGTTGTTTGAAGGTACTATGGAATATTTGAGGACTCCACATCCTTTATCTTTTTCATATGAGGCAGCTAAGGAATGGAAAAGGAGAGGTTCAGTGAGAAGGGAGCTCTGAATAAGTCACCCTGAACAACTCCCCTCACCAGCTGTGTTCTGAACCTGGAAGAAAGCCCACTTGGGGCAAGGGGCAGACTGCTGGGGGGGGCGGCTTTGCAGGGGAAATAGTGGTTTTGGGAAGATTTAAGCACACTTTCCACCTAACCTTTCTTGTTATCTCAGCTAAATATTTTTAGGGAACACACATTAGCTAAGAACGCCAAGTTCCATTTGCAGCTCTAAAAGTAGATTGTGATCCATTTGTTTGCGTAGGTGTGTATGTGTGTGACTTTTTTTTTTTGTTGCTGCTCCAAATGAAAAAATAACTTTGGTTTTCCCTGGCTCCAACTATGTCATAACTATTCATCACTTCGAGAGTCGATATATACCAGCAGATATGCGGAAGCCAGTTACCCCAAGAAAGACAGACGAATTATGCAGAAAAGAGCAAGAGTGGGTTCAGTGGTCAAGAAGGCAGTTTCTGCACATGTTGTAGAGGGAAGTGAGAAGCAGATAGGGCTTGTCAACCTAGGAAGGTAGCCCATCTAGGGGAAGGAAAACTCTGACCCTAAACATCTGCTACTTTGCAGCTATACACATTCACAAGAAAGGATTCAGGGCTAAAACCCTGTTATGTACTGAGCTGAATCCTAGAACAATAGGATCCAGAATGCAGCAGTCTGATTGGTCCGCAGGAGCCACTCAATCCAGCTCCAGGTGGAAGTGAATCAGTGACCTGATTGCATACCTGTCAACCTTCCCTTTTTGGGGGGATACTTCCCTTATTCCCGCTGCTTCCTGCTGCTATCCTGGATTGTTAGATATCCCGTAGACTATCCCCGGGACAGGTGAGGCTGCTGATCCCTTATTTTACAGGCTCCCCAGGACAAGTGAGACTGCTGATCCCTTATTTTCAAATCTGAAAGTTGACAGCTATGCCTGATTGGCCTGCAGGAGCAGCCAATCAGACTTCTGGAGGAAGTGAATCCGCAACCTGATTGGCCTACAGGTACAGCCCGGAATTACCCAATCACGTGGGGCCCATTGTGTAAATAATGTATATATAGCTAGACGTTTTGGGGAAAGTTTCATTCATTGCTACTACGAGCTGAATAAAGAGCATGAAATTCACACTCGACTCCGAATATATATTTCAAACCCTGAGGGAAAATCTGGACCCTCTGCCTTGCAGCACATCTTTGGGAGAGAAAAAAGGCTATTCATCCCAATCTGTTTGCGGAGAGGCTAGATGACAGTTGCATCAAAGCATGGCCAGCTCACCTATTAGGTGGGGTGAAGCAGCCACCTTGGGCAGTGGAAACCCCCAAAGTGGTGCACCCATGGGAGCCCCACCCAATCTCCCTCCTCTACCCCTGGTGGAGAAGTCACTCTGATGCCGGCAGAAACAGGCAGCCCAGTGGCAGTGCTGGCAGAGGTGGATGGCATGGCAGCAATGCCCGGGGTGGATGCAGCAGGGTGCATGGTATGGCAGAGCAGGGCAGTACTTCCCATTTTGCCCCAAGTAGCAAAACAGGACACAGTGCCCCCCATGGTTGTTTACCCACGTGCCACTGCATTCCCCCAGTCACTTTTTTTTAATCTCAAAAAGTCTTATCTTCTGGGGAAGTGTGGGGCTGTTGTGCATTCAACTATAACTGTGCAGCATGGAAATTGCCAGCATGTGGTTGAATCCCACCCCACAAATAGTGTCAAAATAGTTTGAAAACACTGCCTCCCCACCCCTGTGTGTTTGTGTGTGCAGTGCCTTTAAGATTCACACAAGAAATCAGATCCATGCATCAGAGCTTAAACTGGAACCTGGCGGCCATAAGCTGAAATGAGTCACATTTGGAAAATGGAAAAACTGAAATCACTCTGAGCTTAGAAGTGTAAAAAGCAGAGGGGGAAAACAAGCACTTTATCGGGGGCATGGCGAGATAGCAATAAGCAACAGTTGTCTGCTATTTTATGCCCATCATAAATTTCTACGCTTTAGAGTTACAGCTCTTATGGAAATTGTGTTCACGATTTCTTAGTGAGTGACTCTGAGCACATTTATGACTCTGGTTGTTGTTGTTTTTTTGACACCGGCAGCCATTGAACTTGAAAAGGTTGAGAGCACACTCTAAACACCCTTTTTGTGCAAATGGGGCCATGGTAAATTACATCCTGCTTTATCCCCAGAGAATTTTACCAAGGCTGTGGGAAGCTAGCCTGCTGCTCAGCTTCACTAGTCACTGTTGCTTTTGATAAATAAGCCCTGCGTTGTGTCTGGAGTCCTTAACACGTCAACACCGTGAAATGTAGGGTTTCTTTTTTGGTGATGCTGTTCAGTCTTAACAACTTCAGCGTTCTGTTTCAACACAAGCAGATGAGGCCCTTCATAACTTGGGATGCACTAAGCTCAAGAACCAACCAACCAACCTCCCCCCCTCCCCACTTCAGTGCACTGTTCTTTTCTGCCAGGTACTCAAGTACATGGCCAAGCAGTGTTGGTTTATTTTAAAATCAACCTTTGAGGCTTGCGCCATGTTAAAAAAAACCAGGAAAACAATAAGAAATGTATTTTTAGCGTGTGTTCGTTTGTGCAAAAGTCCCACTCTTTTAAAGTGGGACTCTTGCGCATATGTGCACACTAAAAATACATTTTTAATTGTTTTTTTTTCCATTTTCCAGAGTAGATGTTGAAAATGTTGTGCAAACAGCCAGAATACAGTATAAAAGACTGCAGAGCAGCTGCCAACTTCTGGCATTGACAGGGCTAAATTAAAAAGCTCAGAATGTCTCTATCAGCTAATTTCTATTGATTTATTGATTTGCTACATTTATTTCTCTCCTTTCCTCCAAAGAGTACACGTTTCTCTTCCCATTTTTAAAAACAAATAGTATTTATTTTCCACGTCTTCTCTCCCATGTTATCCTCACAACAAACCTGTGAGGTAGGCTTGTTATATAGTTTTAAATTAGTGGTCACTTGCCATTCATTTACAATAAATTAAATATGACTATCTTATGTTAGCAACTACTAAAATATAATTTATGCTCACTCTAGCTTATATCCACTGGAAATGGGATTCCAATCTATTGGGATTCAAGCAACAACATACAGTGCACTCAATGTCATAAAGCCACAAACATCTTAATGTGCTCTATATCTGATGGATTACATTTGGGGCAGCGAAGGCATTTTTAAATTTTTGTTTTGGTAATTAAGGTTTTGCAATTCCAAAACATTTTTGATAGGATTCACCAAAGGACTTCTACCCGAGCAGTGGAGCTTTTCCCTTTCTCCTCCTTCACCTCCCCCAAAAATGGCTCTGGGGGTGTCAGGGGAATCCCAGAACAGCGCTGGGGAGGAGGAGGGGATATTGTTCAAAATCACAAACTGAAATGCTTGTGTAGATACACTAGACAGGCTTATCTTAGGCTGCTCTCAGATATCTGTTTTCAGTGCAGATGGCCAGGATAGCACCCAATTCTGTCACATGCTGAAGTCTATGCCTGGGGCTGTTGGTTCCTTTGGGTCTTGTGCACACATGAATAAAGCATCAAAGAGTTATTTGCATGGGTGTGCATGGACTATGAGAGAGAAAGAGAGAAGCTTTTCATATCAACTCGCAATGCTGCACTGGTAATGCCTTTCAGGGGAGTCAGTTCATACATCTAGCTGCAAGTGATCACTGTTAAGTAATGAGAATTATGTCCTTCCCTTATAATGACATCTGCACCAAGGCTCACTTGCAGTGCCATTCCCAAAGGAGAAAATTCTAACACAGGAAGCGGTCTTTAGTCCAGTGGTGCCAAGGCAAAAATGACTTCTCTTCTTTTCAAACACTTCATCTCAGAGAGAACCACCCAGCCACCTTCATCGCACATGCAAACCAGTCCATGTTTGTGACAGTTCCAACAGCTCCTTTGGTCCCCTGTTCCATCTTGTGCGCTGGTATCCAGCCACTCTTAAAACTGATGTCAACATCAGACAAGATTCAGAGCCCATCCTTGACTCTTGCCAGGTGGATCCTCACTTGAGACTGTTGCAGTCAACCTTATCCAGCAGGTTGCGATAGAATGTGGACTTGAGGAATCGAGGGTAGGAGTCTCGCTCCATCAGTATGTACACATGCCTCTGGGCCTCATCGAAGCTTGAAGGTGTTGGATCTTGAGCCTTCTTGGCAATGTCTTTTCTTGTGTAAAAGTCAATGTTGACCTAAGGGACAGCAAAATTAGACTTCAGTAACATCTGAATGCAGGTTTCATAAATGAAGTACAAAACATGGTGTATAAATCTGGATAACAGCAACAACCGGGAAAATATAGACATAATATTTTACAAGGACAGGGAGAAACACCACAGACAGAATAATTGCCACACACAGGAAGAACAAGGATATAGTTTGAGTGCCTCGCTTGTAGTTTTATAAATCATTTAATGTGTCAATATGAATAGAAGCTATTAATATTGCAATTGTTGTATAAGGGATTATTATTATGACTGGAATGCATTTAAAATTAATCAGATTTTGGAATGCTGAAATAAAGAAAACCATCAATTCTAGCACGCCAGCGGAGGGGACCTTATCTAAATTATATAATTTGGTATTTGAACAATTGGTATTAGTAATTGTATTATGAATTGGTATTGTTTTAAGGAGGCTATTATCGGATTGTAATCGAAAACTAATAAAAATTATTATCAGAAAAACATGGTTTATAAATGTAAAACCACAACCCTTCCAGTTAATTACTAAACAAATGCCCTCAGGTCAGCTTCCCACTTTGTGTTTTCATTCTTACAAAACTTCAGAGCCTCTTTTCACACTTCATACAGCAAGCACATGTGCCCCATAGAAACAGTAAATGGGAACTTGGTACAGCCCAAGTTCATTGGGTTCTTTCTTGCTACCCTAGGAGGAGTTGAAGCACGTGGTAATATTAGAATATTCTCTGTTGTCTGAAGAAGGTGCAGCAGTCGGGAGAGTGTGGAGCAGACCACTGACTGTGCAAGAAAGGCCCATGTGATTTGCATCTTTCCCTCACCCTGGGGTTCAAAGAATATGCAGACAATATTCAGCCATGGGGTCACCTCACTGAGAAGCAGCTCCCATCGCTGTACAAAAAGGTACGAAAGATGGAGACAGAAAGAGGACCTTTGAATCAATTCTCATGGGTTTGATAGATTTCATTTATTGACTGTTTTGACATGAATTTAGCTTTGACTTGTCTTATATTTTTGAAATCTGCAATGTTTCGTTATCTTGACTTTCATTTTGATATTTGGTGTTAGCAAGTGCTTTGCTGTTAGCGGCTTTGATTTCCCCTGGGGAGCAGTGCTGCCTGGTTGTGCACTGAACAGAACCGTACATTAAAAGATCAAGATTTTTCTTTTAAAAAAATAAATGTTAGGAATTTAACAACCATGCTCCCTGGACCACAAATATTTGGAGAAGTGTGAATTAGGAAGAATTTTGGCTTGCACATTGTTTTAGGAAGTGCAAAAGTAGTTTCAGAAAGGTTCATTTCACATTTTAATATGAGCTTAATTACTTTCCCATCATTACATGGGATATATAGCAACCCAAATAAAACTTGTGGGCATTCACACTGCATATGGGCCAGTCCAAAATACATAGCCTCATGCAGAGTTCCTACTGTCTTAAGTTTCAAAGGGTTAGCCGTGAAACTATGAAATAGCCAACCTATAAAATGCACCAGGATGCTTTCAAATAAAACTGCCATAAACATTTAGTCATTTTCCCTTTAAACTTCATCCAAGCTTTAAACTTACTTGCTTTGTAGCATCATTCTGAACAAACTCCTTGTAAATCTTCTCTGCTTTGCCATGTAAACAATCAGCTTGGGTTTTCTTGTAGTCTTCACAAGCTAGCCAAAACTCAATGTTTTCATCACTGAACTCGGATTTTAGAAATTCTCTGAAAGCATCTTGACCACCTGCAATGAACAGAAATACAGACGTGGCTTTAGTCATAATTTTAACACAAGGGGAAGACAAAATAACCAAGAAACTATGCTTTATAGTAGATTGATTAACCTTCTAGCCAGGCTGTGTTGGTGGGGAAACTGTTTCTATTAGGGCATTGCTTTAAACCATGTTGTTACAAAGAAGCCAGGAGCAACAAGTACAGTGGAACTTGACGCTTCAGGTTACAGATGCTTCAGGTTACAGACTCCACTAACCCAGAAATAGTACCTTGGGTTAAGAACTTTGCTTCAGGATGAGAACAGAAATTGTGCGGCGGCGGCAGTGGGAGGCCCCATTAGCTAAAGTGGTACCTCAGGTTAAGAACAGTTTTAGGTTAGGAATGGACCTCCAGAACGAATTAAGTTCTTAACCGGAGGTGCCACTGTATTTCCTTCCCCATCACCTTTGGGCCTGAAGCTTGTATCTCCATTGCCACTTGGGCTCATTCTGCTTTAAATCCACTCATGCGGGAGCTTAACATGAAAGCCAAAGAATGGGGGAAAATGGAATTCTTAGCTCTGAATTATAATATAGTCTTGTGTTCTGCTGTTCCTTTGTTTTCCTATAGGATATGCTGATCTCCCAAGGAGGGCCAAGAAGTTTGTTTTTATTTGCCAGCAGTGGAGGTGAGGTATGTGCTTTGCTGGAAAAGGTGATATAGGGGTGACCTCTTTGTAAAGAGTAAAGGTGCTTAAGGGCTTGCATCTTGGGGCAAGGGATGGCTGTTAAAAGGGGTTTTGTGTTTGTTTGTGTGTGTATGATGTGCAGATGCTGTTTGGTTTGCTATCCTAGATGATGGAACAGATCTGAATGAATGTTGAACAAACTCCAACTGTAATGCTACAGCAACCCAAATGGTTCAAACATGTTTAAGCATTAAATTATATTCGGGTAGCCACTTACTCCTATTATTAACAGGCTTGGGATACCCCAAATGGAAAAACCCATTCATGCATGGGCTCACGAGTGCCCCCCCCCTTGCAGGGATCAAATTGTTCTTGCACATTGTATACTGGGTGCTAGTGGAATTATTTAATTTTATGTGGCCTTGGACTCAGATCAGATCAGCAGCCCATTGGGCAGGAAGGAAAAAGTTGAGAAGTGGAGGGGGCTGGGAGAAAATGGCAGAGAGAGAGAGAGAGAGAGAGAGAGAGAGAGAGAGAGAGAGAGGAGAGAGGCGGGGGAGAGGAAAGGAGAGAGGAGAGGAGAGATGAAGGATGGTCACCATGCAGACTGGCTCAGGCAAAGGACTCACCAGCTCCCACACTCTCTTCTCACAAGACACCTGCCCTCCCCAAATCTGATCTTCTGGAACAGTATGGAACATGGCTTTTCAAAAAGGTCAGAATTGATATTCAACTCCGGTAGACTGGAGTATATTTCCAGAGTATGTACACACATTAAATATGGATGGGATGGATGGGTATGAAAAACCAGTATCCCAAGGGACATAGGTGAAGTCTGGATCTGCAGATCTTATAGAATGGGATGGAACATATGGAAGAAAGCACTCTTTATTATCTGTGGGGCCCAGGAGATGGAAGGACTTTAAAGTCTCGAATAAGAGCACATGGCCACCCCAGAGGATATTACTTAACTGAGTCATATTTTCTGAAAGTGGCAATTCTGCTTTGCTGATCTTCCTTTCAATATTATATACTCACAACACATAAAACTGTTATAATGATAAAATGCTTACACTGGGTTGCCAGAAGCTTCTCTAAGGACTGCGACCACTTTGTAACCTCTTCTGCTGGAAGCCTGAAATTAAAAACAGACATGGTTTTAAGTGCAAGAAACCACATACCTGACGGAGGTCTTGAGGTAGGCCAGTGTTGTTTGTTGTTGGAGACTTGTGTGTGTTGTACCTTTCAGCTTGGAGGGCATTTTATACCAAGGAAATAGGAGGGAGGATTAAGCATTCCCTCCCAGTACTGCAATTCCAATGCTTTTCACCCCATGTCTGGTTTGAAAATAAATGTAAAGAGATGGGAGAACTGATCACAACTCCCCAATGTCTTGTCTAGTTTAACCCCACGTTTCCCTGAAAATTATAGATGTGCCAGCTCTATGGGGTCCTGGTCCATTTGCCCCCCCCCCAATAAAATATTTGAGGGAGCCAGCTCCCTCCCCATTTCTTACAAGTTGGTACCTCCCTCCCTTTGGCCCTCCAACTGGGTGCCACCCTCTTTCCCCTGCTTTCGGTGCCATTTCTGAGTGTGTCTGAGCCAGGGCAGCTGAGGAGAGGTAGGCAGGTAGGTAGGCAGGTGAGGTGAGCAGGTGGCAAGTGTGGGCAGGCAAAAACCTCTTTCGGGTGGGTGGGGGCTGAAAGGCGAGTGGGTGGGGAGTAAGGGGACGCCTGTTCCCAGTTGTGTGTGATGAAGAAAGGTGAGCTCCACAGAAGTGTGAGGAGGGGGGGGGAGTGTGTGCAGAGGCAGTTGGGGGGTGATGGGCCCCCTCAACATTTTGTTCAAATTGCCACCTCTTCTTGGAATTGAGCCTGTGATCTGTGCTTTACCACCTGAGCTATGCTTCTTTCCTTATTTACCTAATTCTTTGAGTTTCATAATTGAGTAGGGACTGGCATTTGAGACTTTATTTGTCCAAGACCTTCACTTCATACCATTCTAGTCCCATATCCATTACTACATTACCCTGATGGCTCAATGAGATCCTGAATCGGGCTACATAAATATGAGTTTGGAAGATCATAATGCTAAAAAGCCGATAAGAGAAACCTTTGATTCATTGACCGGATATTGAGTCAATCTGTGATAATTCTGTTAGCTATCTTGTCTGACTTCCTTTAAGTCTGGGCTCTGAAACGCTCTGCTGTCTTATCTGCAGAGGTGGGTTTCCACTTTCTGTCTTGTCTAAGGTATGAGCCTTAGATGAATGGATAACCCGCAACTGCTAAGTAGCACATTTAGAGATTTCACACTGTAGGAAAGAACCCACTGCAAAACTGAAATTGGAAGAAGATTCAGAATGAATATATTTTGAACCACGTGATACTCTCAGGATTACTCCTGGGCCACTGGTTGCTCTGCTGGGATTTTAGGTAGTGAAAGAAGATCCCCTGTTCTGACTGGCCACAGCATCCTTATGGGTCCAGGTTAAATAAGTTAGAAGGGGTGTGGGATGAGGTTCCTGTGCTTCTAATAGCTGCATGATGGGCTCTGAAGCAGAGACACAGATGCTTCCCTGGCGCAGAGGGGGAAAGTGATGGCACTAACTGGAAGATTAGTCTAAAGTTTTGTCCATGGAGTATCTGACTCATTATGGGGGCAGCTTTCTGAGCATATCGTCTCACCCACAGAGCATTTCTAGTTCCTGCCCACCCTCCCTTTGCATCAAAAGATGTAGCTGGCCAGTTCAACGGGGCCAAGTGTCAGAGGTACCCTCAGGGAAGGGCTGTGGGGCAGGAGTCAATGGCTGGGCTCAGCAAAATGAGCGGGAGGTCACCCGACACAGAACAGGGCTTCTGCACCACATTTTGAAATAGATGCACATTAGCATTTAAAGAGCTGCTGTGTCAAGGGGCTGGACTGAGGAGGGATGATGGGAGTCGCCCCCCCCGCTCTCTTGAACCTTCCTGAGAACAGGAGGACAGTATAGATTTAGAACAGTGGTTTGCAGAAGGGTTTAGAGGCTGCAGAGGGCAGGAGCTGGGAAATACTGGAAGAGGAACAGCAGGAAGAAGAGGCACCAGGGGAGAGACAGCTGACAGACTCTGTGTCCTTGTAAAGAATTACGGACACCCCCCCAAGACCAGGTGGGCATTGAGGGTATTAAAACAGAGAGCTCAGAGACAGAAAGCTCAGATTAACCGACACAGGAGTGATGTTGAATAAGGGGGACATAGAGGGTGGGACTTTACTTGGAGCAAAGCCATTATTAGGGAAGGCTGCACTCCTTCGTCGTTCCCTGTGAATTATTGAATAAATTGCTTGGTAAGAACTCTTATCGTTTCTCTGACTCTGGGTTGCTCCCATGGGAGGGAGAGATGATCCCCCAAAGCCTGACATGATGCTACATTAGAAATAATAATAATAATAATAATAATAATAATTGTACCCCAGCCACTCTGGGTGCAGAGTCTAATTTTTTCTAACTGCACCACTGCCTAGTTGTGTGTTGCAATATTTCTGTGAGTGCAAGCTGGTTTCAATATATTGTAATATTGTACAATATTGCTTGTAATATTGTGTTTTGATTTTGTAAACCCGTGCTGGGGCCTTAGGGTGAAGGGTGGGTTAATAATAATAAGAACAGAGAAAGCACCTGTGCATTTGAATTCAGATGCATGTGCTCTGCATGCAGACCTGGATCAAGGTGAGAAGCAATCGTCTGTGAAAAGGAGCTACATTATCATATAGTGACTGCATAGCAAATATTACTTAATACTTACATTACATCTTTGGAGGTGGAATATTTGATGTCAGGTGATTCTATGTGTGGCACAATAGACAAAAAGTAGTTCTTCAGTTCCACACCCCTGAAAGTGATGATAAAAATATGCGGTAATTTATTGTGCATAGGGGGAAAAACATGAAGCATATCAATTGCAGGAGGTCAGTAGACTGAAATGCATGTTCTCTGCCTCTCCTGGATTATTTCTTGAGCAATCATGCCTCTCAGTATGATGAGATGTTGAGAGAGGGTGCTCCTTTTACATGCATCCATGCACACAAACAGCTGCACATGAAAGCCTACTAAAATTCTCACATATCAATTTGCCTGAATTTAGGCACGATTCCAAGTGGCTCCCTTGATTTCAGCACAAGGGACTTAAAATAAGCACATGCTGAAGCTTTCCACTGAATTTGCAACCTAATCCCATGCATGTTCATGGCTCCAGATAGGTGCTGAATGTTGTAAACCAGTAATTGGCTGCAGGTTTTTCAGTTCATCAGCTAAAGGATAAAATCTAGATTAAATGGGGAGAGGAATATAGGCTGGTTTTTGGATGACAATTATATCATGTGGATGCTGTAAAAAAACCCCCACAACTTGCAAAGGAGCATTGATCCCTCAATAAACATCTGACTGGTAGTACTTTTAAGTAACTAATGCTAATTCCAATTGAACCTTCTCCATAGTTAAATGTTCAGTCTTAAAAATGCATTTCAGAAGTGCTGTTGTACTTACAAAGCCTTGCTCTTTTTTTTGTGATCCTTGCCTTCTCCAACCTCCTGGCTTTTGTCTTTCATTTCGCTTGAACTGGTTTGCCACAGGAACAACCAAGGCATCTTTCTTGGCTTCTGTCTACTGTTGTAGTCCTTAGCAGATTTGAACTCACCAACTGCAGACAGACTTATATATTGACACGTAAGCCGCTTTGAGCAAAAAATAAATAAATAATAATCTGTATGTCATAGGCTGTTACCACAAGCTGAGAAACTTCCTTTTTTCACTCTGAGATGACGTGCACAGTTATTTGTCTGGTTTTGTTTAAGAAGATCTTTCAAAAAGTTTATGATTGTGGTTAAACTGGATGGTAGCAGGTCTCTTTAAGCTGAATGGAGCAGGTGGCAAGAAACATATCACAGTATGAGGACTTTTGTAAAAAAGAAAAAGAAAAAGATTATTTAAGATCAGTTGTTGTGTGGAGTGCTGTGCTGGAGCAAAGTGAAATCCATTGATTCAATTGCCAGAGAACTAAACGTGTAGCTAAACATGTGTTTTCCTCTCTCCCAGTGATATAGATGGGATTTAAATGTACTTGACTTTGGCTGAATTATCAGCCCTCAGAGCAGAAAACCTAGATACGACCCCAAAGAACTTGTTCACAGTTCCACAGCTTTTATTTATATCAGATTTGCATTTTTTGGGTGCTGGTGGTGGTGGAAGGTCTTACTTAAAAAAATTGATCATTTGCAATTAGGAATTTCAGAGAATTCTGTTGGAATTCGAAATGGGTGCAGAAATTGCTGCAATTCACATGTTCCTCTGAAGTCAGGAATGGAAACCACACTATTGAATATAAGCAACATTCAATATTGTTGGGTTTTTTTTAGTCTGCAAATGTTATGTAAATAATTACCATTGTTTTTTACCTTTTCCTTCCACTGAAATGCATTGAGATTAATTATATTCGTCTTACCTATAGCAGATAGCGAGATGAGGTTTTAGCGGAATCCAAACAGTAGCGGAACGGAAACAGAGGTGATTGCGATGAGTAGAGGATGGGATGGATATCGCTGTCTCCTAACATCTCGCAACTCTATTCCCTCCCTTCTAGCCAGTGCCACAATGGCGTCTCTGGAAGAAGCTGAGGACCAACCAATTCTCCATCTATATTAATTGATAAATTGGCTTTCCTCATTTGGATCTAGCATGCACTATTGATGAAAACCTGGTATGGGCAAAGGAGAGGATTGGATGGGAGCAGCACATGCAGAGCTAAGAGAAGGAGGAGCGGCAATTCTAAATTCTAGAGGCCAAGATCTTGATTCCTGCAGGGCCAGAGGTGGGGAGAGAGAGCAATGTTGCTGATGCCTTGTGGATGACCCATTCACACACACACACACACCCTCCAAATAAACTTTCAACTGAATTTTTGAAATATCTGTATTATTTTTAAACAATTGTGCAATTGTGTTCTCTCTCTCTCTCTCTCTCTCTCTCTCTCTCTCTCTCTCTCTCTCTCTCTTTCTTGTCACTGTGTTGCTGCAACATTTGCAGTACAGTGGTACCTCGGGTTACATACACTTCAGGTTACAGACGCTTCAGGTTACAGACTCTGCTAACCCAGAAATAGTACCTCGGGTTAAGAACTTTGCTTCAGGATGAGAACAGAAATCGTGCTCTTTCGGCACGGCGGCAGCAGGAGGCTCCATTAGCTAAAGTGCTGCTTCAGGTTAAGTACTTAATTCCGGAATGAATTACGTAAGTACTTAACCCGAGGTACCACTGTACTTATGTTTGGTTGTCATCATTTTGAAATGTAGGCAAGCCTCAAGAAAGCATTTTCAACACCCAGATGGTTTTTTGGGTCAAGCCTGGCTACACATCACTAGAGATAGGCATGTTACTTGTTAGTTTACATCATGATCTCTCTACCCATTACTCATCTCTGCACAGCAGTGTGGTGAAACTTTGGCCCTCCAGGTTGTTGTTGATGAACTACAACTCCCATCACCTGTGGCCATTGGTCATGCTTTCTGGGGCTGATGGGAGTTGTAGTTCAGCAATATCTGCAGGACCAAGAGCTTCCCACACCTGCTGTAGAGAAAACAGTTTAACATGCTTATGCTGGAGCACTACAGTCGCACCTTGGTTCTCGAACATAATGCGTTCCGGGAGTCTGTTTGACTTCTGGAACTGTTTGGAAGCTGCACCGGATGTTCAGCTTCCAAAAATCATTCGAAAACCAGAACACTCAGTTTTCAATCATTCCAGATCCAAAATGTGTGAGTTCCAAGGCATTTGGCAATCAAGGTATGACTGTATACCTGGGAGTAAGCTTCACAAAATTAGTGGAACTTATTTCTGAGTAGACATGTACAGGATTGCACAGTCAGCACCAAATTAAAACTATTTGGTTTTCCTTTAAATAAATCAAATAAATGAAGTTCTTTATTCAGTTATTGATCAGGTTGTATTGTTATGCGTGTGTTATGTGTGCTTGTATTTTTTTTTTGCTTCTTAAATAAATTTTATTTTGTATTATTAAGTTTTTACATCTAGTTTAAGGTACATAAAAGTAAAACATGCGTAACAACATTAATAATATTAATAATGAACAACAAAATAGCACAAAGAAGTGTGGGACCATCAAATTTTAAATCAATGACAGGTCTATTCCTTGGTTTATGTGCTTTTTCATCAAACATAGACTTAACAAGCTAAATGTTGTCCAATCATAAAAAATTGCAGAGATTTGCAAAATCAAGTTTTACCAGCTAAAAGGACATGACCTAATGACAAAGCCTAAAATTAGAATATAGTTATGGAGAGGAAATCCTGCCTTATTTTCAGTGGCCAAGTTGCTCCTAGGAAAGCGCAGTTTTCAGTGGAATGATGTGGCAATAATTTCCAAGTCACTTTTTTGACAAATGTCTGCAGAAGGCTGCACAGTTCAAAGATTACTACATGTGGGTCAGCAGGGAATAATTTTGGCAAGAAAGTGAGGTATCAGATGAGCTGTCCAGTTGGTGATTCACTGCAAAGCGAAGCCCACATCTTAAGGGCTTACAAAGGCCACGTGTTTTTGTGATAGTTTCTAATTCCTGTCTGCCAGGATTCTCCAACACTTTCTCCTGAAAGACAACAGGAAATTTGTTTTGAGTTCCTTGCTGATGTGTTCGTACATTCCCCTTCCAGCCTCTGCAAATAATGGCTGGAATTGAAAATACAGTCATACCTCAGGTTACAGAAGCTTCAGGTTGTGTTTTTTCAGGTTACGGACCTGCCGAAACCCGGAAGTACCGGAACGGGTTACTTCCGGGTTTCGGTGGTCACGCATGCGCAGAAGCGCTAAATTGCACATGCGCAGAAGCGCCGAATCACAACCCACGCGTGCGCAGACGCGCTGCTGCGGGTTGCAAACACTGTGGGTTGCAAACGTGCATCCTGCACGAATCACATTCGCAACATGAGCGTTCACAGTACTAACAATTCTCCCCCAAGTTTGCTCCCTTCCTTCAACAGAGAAAGTATTGGAACAGCAGGGAACAGATGTTGCCCACAGAATCAGGCCTTCACAATGTGATTTGCTCCCTGGCAGCCTCTCGCTTCTGGTTAGGGAAACCAGCAAAGAGTTGCATCTGCCAATGGATACGAGAAGGTCAAGGCATTTACAATGTGAGACTTGGCTGATGTATCATTTGATTGAAATCAGCTAATGGAATAAATTGAAATTTAATTATGTAAATATTTCTTTTGCTTAACCTAACACAAGAAAAACAGTTGAGGCAGGTTTGAAGATAACAACCACTATGTTGTCTGCGGTCACTTGCTAAAATAGCCAGGTAGTCTGCCCAGAATGAAATGGAAAAACTTCACCCCGAATGGAAAGGAATACGTAACTTAGCCATGCAGGGATATGCTAATCACTTACTTAACCATGTTGGGTTCACTCACTTATTTACTTTGGGGATTAAGGGAGAGCAACAGGATATTAGGGCAGTGTAAAGAAAACCTTAGCTAAGAAGACTTGGATAATATTTACAGATGCAATCCTGCTTGTGGCGCTAGACTTACGCAACAAGAATCAGTAAGTTGCCCCCTTTCCCCCTATGTTGCTCTCTGGCATTTAAACCAAGTGATTTAACTTTGCTCCAGCGCAATAGCAATTCAGGTAACAACTGATCTTAAATAGCCCTGTTTTTTTAAAATGTGCTGCTGAAGCTTTCAGGCCCAGCCTCCCCCCACCTCCCCAATCTCTCTGAGGAAATATCCAAGCTTATGACCTCTCACTTCTTTCACCATAGAGCAAATTAATTGCACACGCCAAATTAAAGTGGAGCTTCCGTTCACAGCAAAAGGCAGGAATCCCATGTGGGTTCTTGTGAATTCTCTGAAATGTGGTCTGGAGGGATCCAGGAAAGCAGGACATGATGAAGTGTGAACAGATCACAAACCTTCCAACATTTCTCTGATGAAAATAAAGGTAAAGGTAAAGGTACCCCTGCCCGTATGGGCCAGTCTTGACAGACTCTGGGGTTGTGCGCCCATCTCACTCAAGAGGCCTGGGGCCAGTGCTGTCCGGAGACGTGGCCAGCGTGACAAAGCTGCATCTGGCAAGCCAGCGCAGCACACGGAACACCGTTTACCTTCCCGCTGGTCCCTATTTATCTACTTGCACCTGGGGGTGCTTTCGAACTGCTAGGTTGGCAGGCGCTGGGACCGAACGACGGGAGCGCACCCCGCCGCGAGGATTCGAACCGCCGACCTTTCGATCGGCAAGCCCTAGGCGCTGAGGCTTTTACCCACAGCACCACCCGCGTCCCCTGATGAAAATAGGGGCGCCCTATTCCATACCCTCCAACGTTTCTATGATGAAAATAGGGATGTCCTATGGAAAAGTGGGACATTCCAGGATCAAATCAGAAACTGGAACAGCTTCTGTAAATCTGGGACTGTCCCTGGAAAATAGGGACAGTTAGAGGGTCTGAGATCATGTGGTGGTGTATTCATAGCACCAGTTCCATGTGCCCATTTCTAATTTCACTGGATGAGGAGGGGAAATGACTTCATAGTCCAAAATGGAACATGAATCTCACATTTGTGTCATAGACCCTGTAAGAAATGGTGCTGGACTGCAGAGATCATGGTCTCATGCAACAGAGCAATTTC